CGCGTTATTAGCACGACGCTCTAACCAATTGAGCTAATAGGCCACAACATTTTTTTAATAATACAACTTAAAAATAATTAAATAACAATAAACTCATTTTCTTATGATCTGATCTACTAATTCAATCTTAAAAATAAATAATAATAAACTCATTTTATTTTTAATAAAGGGCTTGTTTTTAGTTTCAAGTTTTAAAATTTTAAAAACTACGTATACAACAAAATTCTAGTTTTAGTATTTTTTCTTCTAATTTTTAAATTATTTTGAAAGTCTCATATTCTATCAAATTTGATTTAAGAGTATGTTTGTATAGTGATGGTAATTTTAGAAGGGTTAGTGATAGTTACAATAGTGTTGATAATAGTGATAATGCAAATAATAATAATGGTAGTGACAATATTATGAATAATAGAGAAATTCACAATAGTGATAATGATTTTAATAGTTTTGAAGATAATAATAATGATGACAACTTTACTAATTGATAAATAATAGTGAAATTGTTAATAATAACAACAATAATGAAAAAATAATTTATAAATGTACATGTCAATTTAAGATAAATTTAATAAATTAATGCTACAAGTTAATTAATTTGATTAATCATATTCAATTAGTTAAGTCTTATAAAATAGTCCAAAGGAAATATTAAAAAAAAAGATAAAATAACCTTTATGATTTCGTAGTACAAATTAAAACTACGCTTCGATAACTTATGAAAAAGTTTTCTTATGAATTTTAGTGTCGAATTTCAAATTCCAATACAAAAAATAAAAAAGAGAAAATAACTATAAATAAAAATACTTTTAAACTCTTCTTATTAAAATCTAAATATGCACCGAATTTCTAAGACTAATTCTATTGTTGAAACTTGTAGTACAAATTTTTTCTTATGATTTTTTTTATAATTTTTTTTTCTCTTACTAATTTATGGGAATCTCATGTCTACTAAAAATAAAACTATAATAATGTAAAAAAATAAAAAATAATCTTCACTTTATAAGTCAGTTTTATAAAATTAAATTAGACTCTAATATATTTTTTTAAAGATGATATTAAGTCCCAGTTAAATCATTTATAAATATTTAATTTTATAAATTTTAAGTTTAAAATATTTAAATTTTGATACGAGTAATATATTAAAAAATTTACATCAATTATAAATAAAATCATCTATCTTATAAATTAATTTTATAAAATTAAGTTAAATTTTTGTCTTTTCTTAATAGTTGTACTACATAAATATGTGGTTTCCTCTCTTTTTTTAAGCTAAAAAATGGTTGCTTCCAAGGGTATCTTTCCGCTCTCTCTCAAATCTCAATTTACACTTCATCTAACCATTTAAATTAGGTTGAATCTTGACAATTTAACACATCAAATTATTCCAAAAAGAATTAATGAAGCTTCGTATTCTTTGATACTATATGACGGCACATACTGTTGATGAACTTACTGATGTTTCGTAAATTATCAAAACACTATCAGTAATTAATAGCCCGCTTTGTACTAAATTCTAAAGGTTATCATTGAGTTCACTCTTCTATATATCAGCAAAAGTTTAATCAATCTGTTAAGTGCATGTTTTCAGTTCATTATTATTCTCGAATCATTCTTTTCTAATTAAAGTTTAGAGAGTGTAATCAGCTAAGTTGCTAAACTCCAACAGAAAGCATTCAAAAGATAGATACTGATAAAAATTACAAAGACTTGGTGTCATCATATCAGAAATATTGACAACAAAGAAGAAACCAACCCCACTACAAAATTCTGCTCGACCCAAATATTTAAATTGTAACAAGAATAATAAATGATTAAAAGCAAAGTAAACAGCAGTTTACAAACGCACGCAACCACATTGACACACATTATTTACAAGTAATCACTAATGTCCAGACTCTCTGGAATTTCTAACTTGAACACATCGCTGCAATAGGTGTCCCTCTCTTCCTCTGTGCTGCTATTCACATACGTTGACGATGAATTCAATGGGGTTGGAGTCGATAAAGGCGTAGAAAGAACCGATTCATAGCCCATGTTTTGGTTTGCATTGTTTAAATAATGCATCAATTCCGGATCATGTAGCAAATTATCAACTTGGTTTTGTTGAGCAATCAGGTAATTATTCTCCCCAAGATAATTAGAAGGAGTTGAATTCTCTGGGGAACTTGATAAACCATTCACGTTAACGTTGTTGCTTTGAGTTGGTGTATGAAACTGATCACTAGGAGCAACTTGGCTTTGTACTTGGCAATTCCCAGAATTTAATTGTTGTGTAACAAAGTTTGATGGGTTTTCATTCTTCAAAGATAACAAAGTGGCAGTGGCAGCAAGCTTTAAAAACTCTGGGTTGACGTTCATCAACGCTTGGGCACCCAATAACCCTTGCAAATTCAGAAACGATGGGTTAACGTTTCCAATTGCTGACCTGAGAATCGATGACATGTCAAGAAGATCAAGGCGTGGAGTGTGAGTAACAGGGTCAATTCCCATTCTAAGCAATCTCTTCCGAATGTGGGTGTTCCAATAGTTCTTTATTTCGTTGTCGGTTCTCCCTGGCAACCTAGCTGCTATAGCCGACCACCTAAATATGAACGCATATAAGCACAGGATTCTTCAAAAAAAAAAAAAAAGAGTTTAAACATTTTTGAGGAAGTGAAATCAAACACGTACTTGTTTCCCAAGACACTGTGGAGCTGAATGATTGTCTCTTCTTCTTCAAATGAGAATCTCCCTCTCTTGATATCGGGTCTAAGGTAATTAGTCCATCGAAGACGGCAACTCTTGCCACATCTTTGTAGACCTGTAATATTTAATCATTCAAAATAGTCCAATATATTTTAACAACTTGATATTCAACAATTAGTGAACATGAACACACAAAAATTATGATAATAGTCTAGTTGGATGCAAGTTTACCAGAATTTGTCTAAAAAAAAAAAAAACTTTATTTCAGATAAAGAAGTCTTGAAAAACTCTTCTAAAGTTGTATCCAAATTTACTGAGTTGGGAAAGGCAACATAAAAATGGTAGATAGCATATATACCAGCATTCTTGGGGAGGGTTCTCCAATTTCCTGGTCCATGAGTCTGAATGTAGTTGGTGAGCAAGAGATCCTCCTGGGGTGTCCATGGACCTTTCTTGAGACTATTAGTCTTGTCGCAGCAAGGTGCTCTTCCCATTTTGGAAGCAGATGAGTGGTGCAGTGATAGGGCGAATGATTTCTAAAAGTGCAGCCGCAAAGTGCACTCAAACACGAAAGATAGAGAGAAAGGAAGAGGTTTGTGGTGAAAGTAAACGTTGGTTGGATCTAATACAATGCAAAGACGACCCCTACCTTTATAGCAAAATAAAGTGGGGCTGTTTGTTGGAAGTCAAAAGGATTTGGTGCCGCCCTTCTGCAATGTATTTATCAGCAGACGTATACACGTGATTCTACTCTACGTATAATTATACACGGTAATATGGCTAATACATGCATACAAGTGTACCTATACTGCATTGAAAAGGATAAATTATACTCATCTTTGAGACTTGATCACTCATAAAAAAAAAAAAAAAAATCCTTGAGACTCGATGAAATTAATTATATGCGATACTTCTCTTTTTCCTCGGACCTTATTTTAATTTTTCTGTTGAGTTGTATTGAATTAGGATTTTAAAAAAAAGTTCTACGAATTTTAAAAAATTAGAGTTATTAATGAAAAAATATTGATAACTGTTTTGACAACGAGAAAAATTATAGATGATATATATTATGCTATTATATAATTTAAGTGAGGTTTTGCTTTTAGGGGTAAATTATTTAAATAAATTTTAATATTTTGAAAAATTATCCTTTAATTATTAAAAAATAAATATTATGATTTTTTATATGATATATGATTTGCATGATCTACTATTATTTTTATATATCTATTTTCACTAATTTATAAATATTTCTTTTTTTTTAATTTTCTTTAATATATCTTTTATTTATTTTTTATTTATAAGAATTATAATGATAATAGTAAGTTTTAGTTTTAATTATAAATTTAAAATAATCAACCCCTTACTATTATTATACTTAATATTTTTTTATAAATAATTACAAACTTTCACTAAAGTAAATGATAATTGTAAAATATGCATTTATATTTTATTTAATTTAGACAAATATTAATATGCTTTTAAAATTATTTTTGCCTACAAAATACTTAGTCAACAGATAATTTTAATTTTAATTTAATTGTTTAAATATTAATTATCTTTTTTTTTATATTTTTCTTTGTTGAAATATCATAGAGAGAAAATAATCTGAAAAGCTAAAAGTTTTAATCAAAATTATTACTATTTAGAGTTACCAAAAATTCATTCTGTGTGACCGAATCCAATTCTAAAGCCTATCAAAAGTTATTATAAAATTAAGATTTTTATATGTGTATGTATTAGTTCATATTATAATACATTTTTATTAGTGCAATTTTAGAAAGATTAAAGAGGATTTTGTAATATCAACACCATAAACATAGATTGTTTGAAGATTCATCTAAAGATGTAATCCTTAATCATAAGTGATTAACTTCTTTATTGTTGAGGATTGAGGTAGTTACTTGAACTATATAATTTTCTCCCCAATTTTTATTCAATAAAGTATTTATTTAGTTAATTATTTTAGTCTTATACTTATAATGTTTGTTGTGGTCCAATCAACCTCATCACAATTTTATAATTTTTAGTTGAGGTTGTAAAAATCCTTTTTCAAATTACAATCTAGCTAAAATATTGATGACATTTATTATCAAGAAATTGAGATAAATCTCATTAGTCAGCTTTTGGTTCTTGACCTTAATGCGAGATTATTTAATAAAAATTACCGAAAAATTGAGATTTTCTTTAAACAATCTACAATTTCTCACATAAGAAATTATGATTTAAATAAAATTGTGAATTGTCAAATTAACTATATACTTACAATGTTAAATGAAAAATAATAAGATTTTACATAGGAATAACTAATGAATCAATTTCTAACTACTTTTATTATTAATTAAATTTCATTATAATTTACGACTTCATTATTATTTTATTACATTTAAACAATTCTGTTTGAATAATTTTAATTTCTTAATAATTTGCTTGTTTGATACGAATATTATATTAAATAATTATAAATTCAAGTCTCTATGGATTCAATACTTAGAGGGGTTGGTACCTGCAGAAGGCACTCCAACGCTCAAGTCAGGACAAGCACAAATATCTAGGATAACTAATGAACAGTGACGTTACCTTTTGACTTAAGCTATTTATACTGACATTTATGGGCCCTGGATCCCATGGGCCCTGCAACGTATTTACCCTATCAGGTAATACACCTTAATCATCTGATTAACCCCTAATCATGGGTTAAGAGCAATGAGTGATGATAGTTCGATCCTGGTGGCCGAACGTGGCCGATTGCCGTTCGGCCACCAAGTACTGCCATTCGACGGCCGACCAGAAGTGGCCGAACGCCCCTACCCGTACATTTTTTATTACTATGTCAATTGGTATACTTACCAAATATATATTAGTAAAGTAAAAATTTTGTAGTTATTCATAAAATAATAAATCAAGTAGAAAATAAATTTTAAAATCAATTTCATATGTTTCTTTATGTATGTTTGAATAATGTATTTAATTTAACATAAGCTAAAGACTAAAGTATTGAAATGTATAAAAAAAAGGGCTTTTAATTCCTTCATTGTTTATTTCGGTAGGAGTATTTTTAAATATAAAATGATTTTATTAGTTTTAAAAGTATAGATATTGGAATTATTTTTTAAGACATTAATCTTTTCCTTTCCAATGAAATTAACTAACATCAAAACTATAGAATATAAAATCAATATTTAATCATTAATTTTATTTTATTGAATAATGTAAATTACTTTAAATGATGTATTATTTTAATCTAATATTTTATTTTATTAAAAATTATTTTCTAAGCTAAAATAGGTATTAAAACTAAAATAAAATACAAAATTGAGTAACAAGTCCTTGTTTTGATTTTCTAACTACAAAAAATAATCTAAATTATATATATATATATATATATATAT